AAATCTTATATTAGTCGAATATTATTTTTATAATAAAAATAATTTAGTTATCAATAGGTGTCAGATATATTAATAATCTCGTATTTCGCCTTTAATGATCACAAAAAATGTTAATAAAATTACATCAATGTAATTTTGTTGTAGATAATATGATTTAACTACCAATACTGAAGTAATTAAAAAAAAAAACAAGTATAATTAAATATAAAATATGCGCAATAAAAGATTACTTCTGAGCAATATATTATTAAAATCGATAGTAAAATTGTTGTTAAGATTCTCAAAAATATATTTCAATCAAAATGAATGCATTATAAAGGTTATCAGTTGTATAAATATCTCTTTAAATAAATGTTGGACAAACAAATAAATTTTTTTTTAAAAATTGTTATTATAATTTCAATTTATTATAAAAGTTTGGAAATGTTTTTTAATAACACAACTTGTTATATTCAGTACCTTAATCTAACGTAGAAATATCACGAAAAGCACGGAATTTATTCATACAAAACTGAGTTTAAAAGATTATTTTTTATCTGATAAAGCTATTCATCCTTTTAATTCCATTATTCAACAGAAAACTATAGCAATGAAATTTGACTTAAACTCAATATTAATAACAATTTAATTTTATTAAAAATCATTTAAGGAATGTGAATTCATAAATAATCATAGTAAAAAAAAACATTATTTATAAAAAAAAACATATACACATGATATATGTTATATGTCATATGACCGACATCTGTTTATTACAAACTTTAAGCGCTGTTTTGAATAATTTCTGTGTCTTATTCATTAAATAATAGACATGCATTTATTCATAAAGTCTAAAGATTTTGTACACCATTAAATTTATAGCATAATAAAAGCCACATTCACAGTTCAAAACATTGATTACATTATTTTTTAATAAAAAATTAATATTTAAGGAAATTAATTGTATATATTTCTAAAGTAATAATTTCTTTAACTTAAGTTAGATAATATTGTGAAAGCTAATCGCAATTCCAGTAAAATTCATTCTGAAAAGGTAAAAAATTTTAGAAACAAGACAAAAAAATACTATTCAAGTTTCAAAAAATTAAAACAATTTTTTTTATAATTTCTATTAGTTATTCAATTATTAATAAATTGTAATAATTACAAAGAGTTTTAAACATCATTTGCATTTTTCACAAAAAAAAATTGATGCAAATTTCTAGTCAAACTATTTTTATTTTCGAATAGTAGTAACAATCAATTACAAAATCATTTTAAAAGATAACGTGTATCATTTATAATTTATCTGTGTCATTGTTAAACCATACGATTGTGTCGAATTCGTTAATGAACCAATGTCTTGTTAAACTTAAATAAAAAAAAAATGATTTTCGGTTACCATTTGGGCTCAAAAATAGTATATTATTATCACAATTTGTACTACAATTCTATCTGGTTAGTTCGTCGATTATACTTATCCGACCTCGAAGTAGTAGGTCTGATGCATAAGCTTCTTACAAGTATCCCGTTGAGATGCATCTAACCACCTATTTTATGAACGAACATAGTAAATGTATAATAACACATACAATAGCTATAATATAGGGTGGAGAAATCCCCGAAAAATTGAAAACTTTTTCAACGCATATATCTCTGTACTTCTGCCGTTTTCTGTAAAATAAAATAGATTTACCAGTCTACATCAACCAATCGACCGTAATACACTTTGTAATCCTATTCCAGTGCGAACTAAATGAAATTGAATTTATGATTATCTTCCAAGCTCTATATAAAACTTGAGCTCTTAAAATAATGGATAACTATTTTAGTTTTCAGAAATAGTAAGTACGTAATTAATATTTTTGAGTGAATTTTTAGATTAAATTACAATGACTAAACGAAAAATTAATAGAAAACTGATACTGAATATGACTTGAAATATTGAAAGATAATACATTTTTTTTTTTTTTTGAAATATTTGAATTATAATTAATAAATACATTTAAAATTTTTATGTAAATATACATTTTTTTTTATTGAATATTTAGAGTGTACGTATTTTAATATTAGAAGTTTAATTTATAAAAATATTAATAAAAATTAATCCATGTAAATTGCAAAATATATAAGTAAACAAATTTCAACTATTGCATTGTTTTGTAAAAAAATACTATTAATATTGTTATGAATGTTTATACTTTTTTTTTAAGAACATAAGGCTTCGATTATAAGCCTACAATTTACAAGTTTATACTTTGTTTATTGAAACTCGAATATTTTAGACAATGAAAGATATTTTCACTTTATTATATTTATAATTTCAAGGCAAACATTTTATAAGTCAATATTACAAAGTATTTCTACATAATACTGTCTAATAGGTTAATTCCATTTCTTACCAGTACGCATAGTACAGTCAATTCTAATAGTTATTAAAAATATAATTTTACATTAAAGCTTGTGGAATGTGAAAAAAATAACTTGACGTATTTAAAATACTGACTCCAAATCTTGTCATAGAAAAAAATGTCATTTGTTGTATATAAAACAGAACAAAAATGTGACGCCCCTTTTTTACTGACATACGATTAAGATCATTAAAGTCCCATTATATTATTTCATGCATTATTTATACATAAATGATTGTACACAGTTAGATCTAATAACTACATTATGTATAGTACAGGTATGGGTCTTAGGTGGTTTCGGATCATTGGTTTGAATAAAGCTGTTGAATAGAATCACTATTAAATATTGTCTATACATAAACACTACTTACATAGTTCTAAAATGAAAGGATACAAAACGAGAAACAACTTCAATACACGAATCCCATGTATTTGGTATTGACATCAACTTAAAAAAATAACGTGATTATTGAAGCAGCCCAATAACCGTTTGTAGTAATAGTTGAAATACATAATGCAAATCATTACTACTTAGCACTGACTAACTTATTCATAACACGAACAAGCATAATTTATTTGCATTACAATCACTTTTGATTATTAGATACAGTCAAATTCGTTTAACAAGCTATGTAATAATTTCATGAGTTAACTTTATTTATCCTTAATAATACTTTACATATTTAATTGTAGGTTACAGTAAAACAAAAATTTAAGTATAATAACTTATTTTTTTTTTTGATCAACACTAATAATTTATAACAAATCCTGTTTTTTTTTTATAATTTTTAAAAATTAACAGGAATTGCATGAGACGGTCAAAGTAAACTTTCTATGTGTTATCACACTAAAATATAATGCATTACTTTTTTCTTTTGTATTTTTACTTAAATTAATTGTGTCTCTTGATGAATAAACTCATTTGGTGAAACAAGTGTTTTATTACAACGCGCGTTTTCTCCTTGAGGATTAATAATTAAAAAGGCTATAAATGCGTTTAAATAAAGGGTATTAAGCACACGTAAAGTGTGCAGGTACGCATATGTTTACATTTATATAAGTTGTCTCAAAATATGTTACCAGGTAGAAGTGTGACGCGTACGGTATAAAAATTGAAAAGTGCAAGCAACCATTAAGCTCGTGGTCGTTATACTAATGACCATTGTTTGAAATCAGCCTAGATCTTCTGAAACAAAAAGTAGGAAACAACACCTATCCTCTGGAAATTAAAACCTTTTCATAAGTGTATACCCTTTTTTGATAACGCCCATTATTATTCATTTAATTCGTTTGTTTCTCTCTCTTTTTTAATTCGACAAATATAAAAACATGAAATAAAATAAAAATCCCAAACTGGAACTGACGGGACACGAGGGTGGTAATAAAATAAAAACAAAACGTACCACGTAACCTCACCATGTCACGAGCACTATAAAATTCGTATTATTTGAAAAACTGCCTGACCGCAAATTCATTACAACACTATTATTTATTATTAGATTGTCGTCCACACTGATATTATGATTTAATTTCTTCTCATTGTTCTTCTATTTATTGGTTTTATACAGCGTCCATAATGAATTAAAAAAATTTAATTGGCCAGTAATAATCGTTCGACCAAAAATGACTATAGTATAAGTTTTTGAAGCCATTATTTTTTGGAAGTTAAGCTAATGTACTCGGCAAAATAATTTATTACATATATGTACATAAATAAATGTCGACAGAAATTCATAAATATACATTAATTGAATTATATTTATTACACCAACATGAAGCATTTTTAAAAGAATTATGCAGAAAACGTTAAAAATGTATGATTATCATTTTATAGCTAGTTTAATTTATACAATTAAAGATTACAACTACTAAACCTGTCGATAACGTTTAAAAATATAAGTTTGAAATTAACTTATTGTCTAATAACTACCACTAGAGTATAGTTTTATTTAATGAAGATATCATTATATTACAATTAACAAACTAAATATAACCTAAAGTATATTTCCCCGAAAACAAGAAAATATTTAGGTCTCTGTATACGTTACCAACATAATCTTAAAACCGGAATTTTTCCTTAATATTATTATAAATAGGTACTACATTTAAGATTTTATTGATCGGAGAAAAACAATGTTACATAATATTTAAACCAAGATCTGTTATACGAATCCCATTATAAAGCCAAAAATACATTAAAAATATTGTACTGCAAAAAAAAAGTTAGTATCTTTAGTAACTGTGTTTCAAACAAGACAACTGACAGTGTTTCTCGCTTGTTGTGATAATCATACTTTAAATAAACGGCTACTTACCTTCAGTTGGACCTTTAAAAGTGTAGTATTTTAGCGTGAAAAAAAAGCCATACAATAATGCTGTGACTCATAAAAATAAAGCCGTTGATCACGGTTATTTCTTTTGGTTTGAGACTTTTTTTTTTTTTCCTGAAAAGAGAAATGACATCTGATGTTCTACCGGCAAAGGGATTCATAAAGGGTAGGTAAGGGCACATTGCTGTAGTGCGTTACGGTAACGGTGAGAGTTGGCTCGACTGCGCGCCACCAGAGAAGAGCGTGTCGGTTTTCCCTCCCCCAACGACGATGGCCCCTCGCGTTCAGTTCTGTTCGTTTGCTTCGCGTCGTTGCACGTCGCTTGTATGTAACACGAACATCACGTTTTCGGCGTCGTATTTTTAAGTTATTAAAATATTTTTAATCCATATGACGGACAATTTTGTTTTTAAACATTTTTATTAATATTTCGCGTGTGACCAAGCGCATTTTTTTTTATAAATTTTAACAAAAAATACATATTTATCATATTTTTTCACTGCGCGTGCCGTGTGTTGCGAAGGGATTAACTGCGTGCTACACCGGTCAAAGGAATAACATTATTGTTATCACGGAATTGCAAAAGGTTAGTGTTTGTCAGGCGACACGTCGGCCAAATTATATTAGGATATTAATTGTTGTATAGATTTACAAAACCCCCTAATCTTCTAGTGTCAACATTAAAAGATCCCAGTGCAATATATTAAAGGCTATGGCGGTCAGAATAGTAACCGCGCTCAGTAAATCTCAAAATATAATCCACGGTCGAAAATTTAATTTCCCTTTGGTGTGGATGTTTCTCTAGAGACTCAAAGATTATATTGTGTTCGTTTGATACACCGCGAATGTTTGTGGTCTAGCTTATTTTATCCAATTTTGCCTGAGATAATTTTTTCCAAAGTTACCAAAATGAATCTCTTGATTAGTAGTTTATTTATTAATATTTAGTATATTTATTAATATTTCATTTCATTTTATAAAGAGATACGTTTTTGAATTCTCTAACGGTCGTTAAGTAGAAAATAAATATTCGTCGGCAATTTTCTTTCTTCTATAATGACATAATTATTTAGCTATCATAAAAATTATATTCACTGCCATTTCATTATTTTTGCATCACAACTTCGATGTAAGTAGAACATTTTAGAATAAAGACAAAAACGATCATTCAACCGAGTCAGATAGACGGCAACCGTTGAGTTTTTTTTTTAATCAGTCAACGCCAGTAAAGTTATTTAACAATCGTTGACTATTATTGTTTCTTCATCGTTCATACGCGACTTGGCCGATAGTTATCTTAGAATGTACTCGATAGCTGATGATTTTTCAAAATGCTATCTGAAAATCTGTAATCTTGACAACGTCCATTAATTATAAATCATGCTAAACAAATAAAGGTAAAAATAATCTGATAATATTAAATGGCTACATCTATTGCAGTTTATTTTCAAATCTCTATTTACTTTGAATCCTATATTTTAAAAAAACATAATTACACTCAGGATAATTAGTCGAATTTTTACTTTTTTTATGATTATTAATTGAGTTTTTTTTCCAAATATAACTTAGTAAATAAATTTCTTAATGGTGTTCTTTGTAACTCGCTCTGCGTTAAGAAACAACTATAATCCCAATAAGATTTGGCGAACACAAAAAACTAGTTTTTTTTTGATATCGGGGTAAAATAAAGTTTTTTGTTCCCAAGTTTTTTCATCAATAAGAGGTGTCGTCAAATAGGTCTTATTACGTGAGAAAACTACCGTTTTGGTGATTCTCTTTTATAAATAAACACATGAGCATCGAATGCGAAGGAGTCATTCGATGGTAAACATGCTAAAGTATCGACAACACGAGACCTGGCACGTATACTGTCAATCAAAAACGACATCGGTCATGTTTCCCCGAAAAATCGCCCCGACCCCAATTAATCTCACCATTTCCATCTAAGACCTTCCTAAAATAATCGCACAGTACAGTCTAGACATTGTATTGAACCGTATAAATTACTCGACGGCCGACAACTAAAATAAACCAAAAAATTTCAATGTCACTGTTTGCAAAGTTTATTATCAATTAGCGTTTGTCACTAGTTGAAATAACTCAAAGAGTACACGTTTTTAAAACATTTACAGCGTTTTTTCTCATTTTATTGCTTTTAATTCGTTCTACGTTTTAATATTTATTAGTTCTCACAATTAAACACTAATAATCTGTCGACATCATACGAGTGATTATTAAAACAATTCAAACATAATATTAATCAGGCAAACAATAGTTATAATTAGTGATGGGCATTTTCGAATATTTTAAACTATCGAATAGTATTCGGTAGTTTTTATACAACCGAATAGTTTATTTTTAGCATAAACTATCGAATATTTTTACTATTCGAATATTTTTTGAATGATTACCGAATAGTTCGAATAGTGGGCAACTATCAAACTATTCGATAGTTTCTATTCGATATTTCCCATCACTAGTTATAATGTTTATGCCATAGACAACTTAACAGTGATTACCGTAAAATTGTTCATTCTGTAGTCACTTGTATGTTAAAATAAAATAATTGTAAAAATTACCCGTTTCGTAATCGTCAGAATTTCAGATTTAAAAAAAACTATATTTTTTACAGTATTGTGTATTTAAATATCAAATAAAAAAAAAAATTAAGTTTTAATCGTTGAAAAATGAACGCTATTAAACATAAGTGTAATGTAATTTTTTAATGTCGAAAGTTTTTATAGTAACTTTCGTCATTTATTCAACGCAGTAATTGCATTTGAAGCATTATGCCTTATTAAAAAAAAAATTAGACATATAAACTAATTACCGGCAATACAATTATAACTTTTAAACTTAAATATGAATTTCGGTATCGTTTTAAATTGGACTTTTTTTTTACGAACGTAATTTTATTATAGTGAAACTAACTGGTGAATATTTTTTAAATAATTAACTTTGAGCGTTAATACAGAAATGACACAAAAAAAAAATTATATTTTATTCATTGAATTTTCATTCTCGCAACAATGTTAATTTCCTCAAACGCATTCACAGGCCTAAAGTTGCGCGAACTTTTATAACGTAAAAAATGATAACGTCTTAGTTTTCTAACTTAAATAGTTTAACGTGAGTTTTCAAAACGTGGTCAAATTAATGGTTTTTATCGCGAACCGCTTGTACTTGCAGCTGTAAATTACACGGGTACATTACGTTTTAAACGATTTATGAAAAACTTGACGGAACAACGGCGTTTTATTTAATCAAGATTTCGTAAAGCACACGCGACCCATGAAAAAAAAAAAATAAAAAACTTTATTGTTCCGCTTTACTTTATGACTGCGGCGGCCAACAGGAGTGAGGCTTAATTAAATGGCAATCGTGTACGTGTTGGGAGTCGCCGGTGTGGCCGTCGGTTTCCGACGGGTTACGTCTTTCGGCATTAATCTCTCACGTTGTACAGACTCGGTGGACTACGCGCAGGTTTTAATGAAATGTGTAGATTTGCATGTGCACAGCAGGTAGTTTTCCACTACTGGTGTGCGGCCGACACGGTTTTTTCCTAGGAAAAATTTCACCGCCGGCCGCGACGACACGTTTGAGTGTAATATCAATCTTGGTGTCAACGCTGTGCACGCGCCTTAAATCGAGTACACCTCCGAGGGAGCAGATAAACGGCTCTTGAACTGCAGTGCAAGCGTATGTACGCAATGTTATTACTATCGAAATATAATAGTAATAACAGTAGCAATATGTATTGTCGATGACAGGTATTTACATAGGATTACCGTGTGGTCCAGGACGCACCCCGTGATTTATGGTGACTACAATAAAGCACCGCCGTCGTCGTACACCTCCGCCACCGCTTTCGTCTTGACGCAATAAAAAGCATTAACTTCCCTCGTGCCGCCGTCTACCTCGGACGATTTGGACGTGTTTTTTTAGTTTGGGAAAAACGCGATAGGATTTTCCGTCCCGAGAGTATTATATTATGTACCTGTGCCCCTCCCGTAAAAATCGGTATATCGTGTACTACTACACAAAAGTCCACTGCTCGTCGCCACAACTGAAACTGAATACGGAACTTCGTAGCGACCCGGTGGGACATGACCGACATTTTGCAATACGCAAGTGTATAGTTTTATGAAATCTTGATTTTTTTCGTACATGCACTTATCGGACTACTTGCGCGCGTAAAAGGTCACGAGCCACGTCCAAGCGCAAAAGGTCTTCTAAAATTATTGCACGCAAATAACATTTTAAAAACAAAACTGTTACTTCCAAGACCGTATTTCGATAAATCTGCAGTTATTTTTACTCGGTCGCTCATTTTTTTTTCAAAAGCTTTTATTGGACAATTTTTGTTTAATAAACAAAAAACGCGCGTCGTTTAGAAGTTTTTTGAATAATGTAAACATTTCGTTGTAGTATAAACTAGCAGTTGCTTTCAATTCAACAAATACTACTAATAATAAAACTGTACTAGAAAAAAAAAAAACATGACAATTGCGTTGGTTCAATTCGATGACCATTCTGATAATGAAATGTACGTTCTTTTCGTACGCAGAGAAAGACACACGCCGCATTATACAAAAATAACAGTAAAACATTCTGTTGTTACTCAATACGGTCGTTGTATCAGTCTTTTTTTTTTTTATGATTTCCATCCCTTGGCGAATAAAACTTTATCCGTCAATCGGTTCTAATGTTTGTGGACAATCGGAACGAATGCACGCTTGCACATAACGCACCCCCGGGAATACACACAGCAGCTCTGTCACCCTATTATAATTTCTTGAAATTCGTTGGGGTCGTTACTACAAATCGAACAGCGTCTTATCTCCGAAGAAAACTACAAGAAGTCGATTCACGTATTGTACAGCACGCATTATACGAACCTTTCGGTGCAAACGTCCCGGGATTTCTGGCGCCAAAATAACAATTTCAAGTCTCCACGCGAACGGCCGTCGCCGTTGCAACTATACATCTGTTGCCCGAGATGCGAACGCTTTAGGGACGGCACCAGAAAATCGAGATCATTTTGTTTCCCAAGCTCCGACAATCGATTTTAAGTGGCGTAAACCAGTTTTCGATGTGTTATAAATATTTACCGAGTGTGTTGACCGTACACATGTGTGTTTGTCAGGTTCGGATGTTTCGCTTAGTCATTAAACATCAATTTCACTCTCTTTACCGTCCCGTCTCGCTCTCGTCGGCTCCCATGAACGGTCGCCGCCCTACACCTGCCGTCATCGCGTGTCTATATTTATTAAGGCCATGCCTCGCATGTTGCAATCGCCTCTTCACCGACCGCTCCGGGTCCGCAAGGAGTCTTTATTTGTCGAACACCGACGACGAACTCGGCTCGACGATCGATCATAATCGATTGTGTTCACGATCACTGAGCGGTATACGTGAAACGCTTTGCGAATAGAGCTCAATTCTCTCGGCAAAATTATTGTGTTATCCACACGTTATCGAAATAGACATTAAACTCGCTCGAGGTATTTTTATTTATGTCTACAAACGCTTTGTGTGCCATTCGCTTACGTCGCACTAACCGTAACGCCAAAGGCGCAACACACA